GTCTCTTCGTAGGACATGCTCGAACAAAAGCGATCAGTTCATTCCATATAAAGAGATCAAAAGTGGTATTGGTCGCATGCTCCTTTGCGATTACTCCCGGAGTCATCCCGGATTAGTCCCATTTTTTGCAGGGTGTTTATTTATAAACGTATGTGTTCCTTTTCTTTCGTACGTGTTTATTGAAATATCTGTACTGTAGTGTTTTCGGACGGTACTAGCTCGTACTGCCAATATAGGAGTATTGCATATATGGTTCTTGTCACCGCGATTCTAGGTACGTTCAGCAATTCAGCTACAATCAATTGTGGAAATTCTGGCATTGCATATTTAGCGGTTGCAAGAGTACACAGAATGCGGAAAGGGTTTTAAAGTTGAAAGAAATTTTATTTACCGGTTACAAAATTTTTATTACCAGCGCAGAATAGACCTGTGAATGTCAAAATACCTAAATTCCAGACTTATTAAAATACTTTCGAAGTTGGTCTAAATTTTCTAACTTTGCGGCCTGCGTGACGCCGTAAGGACCGCTGCCGGGCTTAGTTAGTGTCCTTTCCAAGTAGAGGAGGTATTAGGGCTCGACTGAATTAAATTCGAGCTTTGGTAAATGATTTGCAGTCTGCTGTTCACTGGCTCTTAGACTATAATTTGTGCGTCACCGTCAGCTTTGTTCATGTAACTTACTTCATACAAATACGCCAGTTCAACTTTTTGGACAACTGACGGTGGCGGCGATGGTGACGCAATGGACGTTATGTACTTTCACTTTAAATAACTTGATGTCTCCAAAGGCAAAAGTTTTTATCTTGACAATTTTATGAGGTAAATTTTTGCCAATATGCTGCGATGAAGGCAGTGGCAGTGAATTTAGAATAGCCCTAATTGAGCAGCACTGCCAGCTGCCACGGCTGAGTTGTGAGTCGCTTCACCACACCACACTTTCTAAAAAACAGCTGATCTCGAAAAACTGCCACTGCAACTGCGTTATTGTATTTTAGGCTTAACGTTTCCCGCTGTCGAATATTCTACGTCATTCCTCGAACATTCTGCCATTTTCTCGTTGTTTGCTTCGCGTTGCCGCAGTGTTCGCCACACAATATTTTTAACATATTCCAACAGGATAATTCAAAACAAAACTTACCTTTAATCTAGTTGCGAATCTTCTTTCAATTAATACCCATATGAATATCTATATTTTGCGTAAAGTTGTATGGTCCTTTAGAAAATATCATGACTTCTTCTTCTTCTTTGGCGCTCTAACCGCCTAAGCGATTTTGGATGAATTCAACAAAGCACGCCAGTCGTTTCTCTTCTGTGCCACCTGATGCCAAGTGAAGCAAATTCCTTCTCTACTTGGTCTTTCTATCGCAGTGGGGGCCGCCCATTTCCTTTGTTACCACCAGCGGGTTCCGAGTTAAACACTTTCAGAGCTGGAGCGTCGGTGTCCATTTGAATCAAATGGCCTTGCCGCAGTATTTTTATTTGCTGCAATATGTCTTTATCGTTGGGAAGGTCATACAGTTCATCGTTCCATCGTCGTCTGTATTCGGCAACGCTAAGAGGCCCGTAACCAGTGTTGTCACTTCAGAAAGCAAATTAGTGGTTGATTATTAATAAAAACAGGGGTAGATCTCTAGAAAAGTGTGGTAGAATGTTTGTAGAAACGTAAAAATTTGCCAAAAAAAGATATATCAAGGCATGAATTAGTATTCAAATGTAGATAAACTGCATTCTCAGTTTTGTTCTATCGCACATTTTTTCCGAGATATTGGCCTTGATTTTTATTGCGTTAGACACGACTAGACACGAATAAGGGTGCGTGCTCAAAAGTTAACCACGAAAAAAGAGGCATAAAAAGCTTCAGCGAAGAAAGACTTTTAACGGCGAAGAAAGACCTGTAAACTTACTTTCGTAACAGATAAACTGTTGTTGTCTGTGGAAATACTTTTGGTAAGCAACTTCACAGACGTATTCTCAGGCGATGTCGAATCTCTAAGATCCAGATTATCCTTCACGCACGCAATAGAAATTTTAAAATGGCAGAACCTTCAGCCCTTCAACTAGCACCAAATTCACAATAAATATTCTTGACATTTGAATTCATATTGAGAAGATAATTGACTGTTCAACTCTTATGAAAAGAAAAAGATTTTTCAAATGTTTACCTAATAATTTTCTTTCAGTAAAATTGTGGTGGTTTTTTTTAAATATGTGGTAGTTGTGGTAGAAAAGAAAAATGTGGTAGATCTACGACAAAGTAAAGTGGCAACACTGGCCGTAAATCTTTCGCAGAGTCTTTCTCTCGAAAACTCCAAGATCCGCTTCATCAAATGTTTTCATTGTCCATGCCTCCGCGCCATACACCAGCACGGTCGTGATGAGTGACTTAAAGAGTGTAATTTTTGTACGGAGAGAGAGGACATTACTTTTCAAATGCCTACTCAGTCCAAAGTAGCACTTGTTACGAAGAGTGATTCCGCATTGTATTTCGATGCTGACGTTATTATCGTTGTTAGTGCTGGTTCCCAAGTAAACGAAACTCTCTACATTCTCGAAATTATAACTGTCAAAAGTTACGTGAATGCCAAGGCGCGAATGCGCTGACTGTTTATCATCAAACCCTTCCTGTCCTTGTTCCAGAGCGGTTCAACTCTGTAACTCTTATTATCTTCTCCAACATCAGATTTAGGAAATTACAAGAAAGGGAGTCGCCCTGTCTGAAACTCCGTTTGGTAGCAAACGGCTCGAAGAGAATTTTCACAATCCTGACGGAGCTGGTGGTATTGCTCAACGGCATTTTACATATCCGTAAAAATTTCACATGGATACCAATTTCCTTTTAGTGCTGCCGAAAGCGGCTTTGAAGTCGGCAAATAGATGGTGAGTTTCGATCCTTTCGGGTCTTTTCCCAGATTTGACGTATTGTAAATATCTGGCCTATTGTGGATTTGCCAGGTATTCGTTGACGGTGGGCTATAGTCTTTCACAAAATACTCTCGATGAGACCTTGTAACCTATGCTTAGAAGACTGATCCCGGGATAGTTGGCGCGAATGACAGGCCGCCTTTCTTGTGGATTGAGCAGAGAACACTTTAATTCCAGTTTACGGGCGTGCATGCATCTAACAATTACTATTAGCTCCTCGACGACGTGCTTGAATAGCTCAGCTAGTAGGCTATCACCTCCAGCTGGTTTGTTGTTTTTCAATCGCGTCATTGCTATTCGTACCTCGTCATAGTCAGGGGGTGGAACATCGACGCCGTCATCCTCGACTGCGGTGGGACGAGTGGAAAAGTGTTCCCTCCATAATTTAAGTATGTTATGAACACCGGTCACTTCTTACCGGTTTCTTCTTATAGCGGCAAATACGTCTCGCTTCTAACTACAGCATATTTTTTTATTTTACAGGAGAAGAAAATTTTTCATATCGATACCTGAAGGGAAGATTGACCTATCTCGCTAGCCAGTTCGAAAACGCCCTACCTCAGAAAACTTTTCAAGAATGCCCTACTTCAGAATTGAAATGATTGAAAAGCGCTCTATTTTAGAATTTCATTGAAATGCGTCCCATCTCAGAACATTTTCAATATATTTTCAGCTGAGATAGGGCGTTTTTGAACCGAATACAGAGAAAGGGCGTTGTTCAACTAAACTCTGAAGCAGACATTCTTGAAAAGTTTTCTTAGATAGAGCGTTTTTGAACTAGCTACCGAGATAGGTTGATCTTTCACTCAGGTGACGATATATAGGAAATTTCATTCAATTTATTGAACAAGAAAATGAGTATAAATATTTAGCTTTGAAATATTTTATAATACAAACGAATAGAGATTGGCGGCCGTTTAAAATTTTCATGAACATTTTTTGGCTCTTTTTGCATTTTCCCGAGTTCTTTATGAAATTCAAAAACTTGATTCTTGTGGTTTTTGCTATTAAGGAAATAAGAAAAATTTGGTATGGAAAATATAAATAAATAAATTTGTCAAAACGTTGGGATTTTCATATTTTTGGCGCTGACTGTATTTTTAGGCTTATTTTTTTTTGCATACAAATCCGAGCTCTATTAGTCATAATCGTAATATATTAGACCCCACATTTTCCACGACAAAAACAAATTCAGTGAAAACCGTTTCTGATAATTAGAAATCTTCACTATCTTCTACTTTAACAAAAGGCTCGATTCATTTGAAATATTCGTGAACTATTGCACATTCGTAAATTAGTAGAAAATTGAAACATTAAATATCAGAGCAAAGTAAGCAAATTAAATGTTATGCATTAAACCAGGAAGTTAAAGGAAAAATTGCGACATTTCAATAACGGGCCGCGACACCGGAACAAACAGCTGGGATGTCTGGCAACCCCAGCTTAGCCGGATGTTTAGGTGATGCTAGCTTGTTTTGTATACGAAAAATTCTCTTCGAAACCCATGTACATAATTTTCCCAGTACCCTTTATATCGAGCCCTAACCGCCAAAATAACGTAAGCGACATTAAAAAAATTTTTGTTTGATGCTGACATATTCCTAGAGCGTCTAGATGCATTTCTGCATCAAAAAGCAAAATTTGATAAAAAAAAAGTTGCTTACGTTATTTTGGCGGTTAGGGCTCGATATTATTTCCATCAGCGAGGGAGAAGAACGGTCTTATATTGATATATTATATATATATATTATTATATTATTACATGAAAACTGTCTTGAAGAAAATCATAAATATCCTGTACCTTTTCTCTATTTTGTTAAGTAGTTTCTGCGCTGTGTAAAAATTGCATTAAGTCGATTTATGAAAATTTGAAGTCGTTGGTTATCCTTTTAAATTCAAATATCCAAAAGCTTTTATAAATTACCTGTCCGTGAATGATTAAGGAAACTGCAAACACATCGAAACTTTTGGAAAAGTTCAGCAAAGCCATCAAACAGTCAGTAGAAGCGGCTCTCTTTCCCAACATACAAAAGCTTGGCAAAAAAGTCACTGAGAAAATGTTGTCAGTAGACCGAAAAGGTACATAGTTCAGATAAACGCAGCAAATCGGTTGGGGAAAATAGAAAAATTGTAAATAATTACAAATTAAACTAAGTACTAATGTTTGTAGTTCAATGTTAAACGCAAAAGCAAACCATTGAAAATGGGATACGAAATGTCTGAATTATATTTAATTAAATATAAGTGCACATAAAAAAATTTTGCTGTGAAATAAATAATACGTTGAATAATCAGGTAAGAATACAAACTACGCACTACCCAGGCAGCCATTCTCTAAGCTTTAAAATTTAAACTACGACAAACTTGCCAGCAGCTGTCCGATTTAACAGTAGGGTATTGTTTAAATTTTTCTTTAAAAATTTAGTGAAGGAATTTTCGGAAGCGAAATTGATGCAAATTGAATTCCTTTACATGCAAAAAAGCAAAATTTCAGTATCTCAAGCCTGCTTGCTGCTGCGCATGTCACCACCAGGCCACTTTGCCTACCTTAAGTGCTTTTATTTGTTGCTTTGTCTGCGAGCTTTTTTGTTGCAAGGCCTTGTGTTGGGTGCTGGTAAAGGCCACATCTTGTAAGGCCACTGGGATGCAACATATTCTAATTAAAATTGCTCAGATTTAGGTAACCGCTTATTAATCATTTAATTCTATTTTCCTTTTCCGTTTGNAGGCCACATCTTGTAAGGCCACTGGGATGCAACATATTCTAATTAAAATTTCTCAGATTTAGGTAACCGCTTATTAATCATTTAATTCTATTTTCCTTTTCCGTTTGTTTTTTTACAGCGCCCTTTTTAACAAAGTGGTTTCACATACCGTTAATGGCGGCAGTTGTGCATGGATGTGGTGGTGGTTCGAATTCGCGACAGCACCATGGCGGCAACATATCCTGCGCTGGTCTAGCTCATCGCTCACAGCGTCCACCGCCACCTACTCCAATGTACGCCACAACCAATAAAATACCGAAATATTCGCGATCTAATGCGTCGATTGGTAAGCATCACCATCTTTATAGTGCCGGGGTTGGAAGTATCGAACGGGGTTTGGGTGTGTGTGGTAACGTGAGCACACTCAGTAACACTCTTGGTCTCACCTCTCATCAATCCCAGTCTTTTAATACTTCGTTGCCACCTGTCACCTATCTGGCCGCGGGGGGTGGTAGTGGAGCTGCTGGTGGAGGTGGAAGCTTACATCAGCATTCCTACTCGAGTGGTCAGGGTGCGGCGTCGACCGATACCTGCCGAAACTATTGGGGCCATCCAAGCCTCTATCGTGGCGGTCGTCATCACAATAAACGAAAGTCGGCTGTGGAGCTACTGGCTGAGACAAAGCCATTTTTTATAAAGTCGGATACAGTTATGGAAAGATTACACCAATCCAGCTATCGCTCGGCTACCATCGCGAGCGTTGGGAAACGTGGGCGTAGTAGTGTGAATGGGCGGGATGAAATGAGTCGATACAAACCACCCGGTTATCCATCTGAACTAGTGGATACACACGATGTGCGCACAGAACAGCGTTTCAGTGTGCCGACTTCATCCGGTGGAGGTATGCATCAAAGTAGCCGCTCTAGCTCGTATCAGCATCATCATCATCACCACGATCATCGCGCGCACATAAGTAGCAGTGCCCGTCACAGCGCACCTTCCTCAAGCAGCTTGCTGCAAAGTAAGGTGCGCATGTTGTTGGCTGGTAGTAGCAGTGTTGAGTCGGCAAGAGATCGCACAAGTGGCGCCATTGGGCGGAGCTATCGGGGAGACCTGCTGCGTAATATCGATTTCACGAATAAAAGCAGCGGTCGGGCAAGTCTTGGTGGCAAAGAGGTATGTTTTCGACAATCTGTGTATTTTGTCTTTTTGTTGGTATTAATCGGTTCCTTCTTTTACAGCTAACTTCTGTGAGTTTCTCCAATGATGATGATACGGCCATACGACTGCCACCACCCTTATTCCTCTCGCCACAATCATTTGATAATATCTACAGCTATGGTGCTGAAAATAGTAGCGGTGATGAACCACTTGTGCTGACAGAGAACTATCGGCCAATCAGTCCGCCGGCAGAGTACGCAGCTGAGTCTAGCAAAACCGAGGTCCGCTCAAGGTTTGTAGTTTAACCTATGTTTGGAATTCTTGTCCAGCACATATTTTTTCGCAGATACAATTACCAACGTTCACACTCACACTCGCATGAAATGGCGGCCGATCCTAATTCGCAGTACAACATAAATAGTCATAAGTCTTTACCTGACTTGCATTCGCAAATAAGTCGTCATTCACCGCACAGTGAAATCCTCAGTTGCTGCAGCAGAGGCAATCGTTCAATCAAATCCGCCGGCGAGTCGTCGCTAAATCGTGACTCAGGTGGTTCGTCGGGCCACTACACTCATCGCAGTGAACCTTGTTATCGACAACAACGAGATAGTATTGATCGGGAAATGTACGCACAAGCTAATACTAAAAACTGTTGTCTTAACACTATTCCCACACCCATGGAGTACCGACGTGACTCTGGTTCCTCAACACAGCATAGTGCTAACTCAAATGGCGCCGGAGTCGGCTATGTCTCACCTTCATTTTTGCGCTCTGGAATTGGCGATTGCACTGAATGTCGCTGCAAGAATGGTGTACGTTTCGAAGCAGACGATTACTTGTTCAATTTTCCGACACCTGAAGTGCCGGAAGCCTTTCAAGATGACTACACGCCACCTTCACCCTCAGTGCCGCATTACGAAATGGATGAGTCACGTTTATCGAATATTCCGAGTTTTCAAAATCTTCAACTTCATCAACAACAGCAATCACAAAGTCGTGAGCAGGACCAGCAGCAGCTCTTTAGTACTTCTGTTTACAGTAGTGGTAGTGTAAAATCACCTAAAAGCCCCGCAACTCAAAGTCCTGGCTCAGCTCCTTCAATTGAAGACATTAGTCCACCGCCAATACAGTTCAAGAGACAACGTTGCATTCGCTTTAAAAGCCGAAATCGTATTTCACTGCCAAATGCCCCTTCGCTACCGAATAGCATTGCGGCACAAAGTTTGGAACGCGTGGAGCCCTACCACGGCGACATGGATCAGCATGCGTACTTCTTTCCAAAGGGTTTTTCCACGGATACATACACATCTCCCGGAAAAATTTATGTAGATCCCCTATCCCACTCGACGACCTCCCTATCGGTCGAACAGAACGACAGTCAATCAAATGAACGCGAACCGGTTATGCTGGACATATCGGGAGCAAATGGTAATGGTTTTGTAGAGCTTGAAAAGTTTTTTGATCGCCTTGGCTTAAACGATGAGAAATTCCATGAGATATATAGTGTACCCAGGCGGCGTAAGAGCGCCGATACAGACTCTGAAGGATCAAGTACAGTTTTCTTCTCTGATGTGAGTACTGTGGACTCGATGCGGCTTCCGGATAGCACAGAAACACAGCCACAAACAACACAACCATATCGACCCTCTGAGCCACCATCTATTGTTGAGCGTAATGCTCGCATCATAAAATGGCTATGCAATTGCCGGAAGTTGCAATATGTTTAGAATAGATATCTAAAAACATACATACATATGTACGTGTATACATTAATATTTTATTGTGTACATATGTATGTATGCAATTAACAGCAAAATGGATGTAGCATNACAACCATATCGACCCTCTGAGCCACCATCTATTGTTGAGCGTAATGCTCGCATTATAAAATGGCTATGCAATTGCCGGAAGTTGCAATATGTTTAGAATAGATATCTACCAACATACATACATATGTACGTGTATACATTAATATTTTACTGTGTACATATGTATGTATGCAATTAACAGCAAAATTGATGTAGCAAGTAATAATAAATACCCAAATGAATCCTTAAAAGGCTACAAGGGATTGATAGGTGTATTCATACGAAAAGGAAATGCAATACTTGTTCTTTCTCATAATGTGAAATAAAGAGGTTTAAGTAGAAATTTACTTTGTTTTTGTAGTTGTATTTCTATTTGATATACATATGTGCTATGGAGTTTAAATAAAAATTCGTAACTACATAAACGAAGTAGTAACAATGAGATAAATATTACATAAGTTGGGTTCCAGATGCTTCACGATATTANTTGTTCTTTCTCATAATGTGAAATAAAGAGGTTTAAGTAGAAATTTACTTTGTTTTTGTTGTTGTATTTCTATTTGATATACATATAAGCTATGGAGTTTAAATAAAAAGTCGTAACTACATAAACGAAGTAGTAACAATAAGATAAATATTAAATAAGTTGCGTTCCAGATGCTTCACGATATTCACGATTTGGAGGAACAGCTGTTTTCTCCATTAATAAACCTTATGGAAGGTGGTCACCTGGAACGGCTTCCTGTAAAAACCTGCAAATCGTGAAGCATCTGGAACGCAACTATAACTAAGTCAAATGGAGCTCTTCTTCTTCTTTATTGGCGCTGTAACCGCCTAAGCGATTTTGGCCGAGTCCAAAACAGCACGCCAGTCATTTCTCTTCTATGCTAACTTACGCCGATTGGAAATATCAAGTGAAGCCAAGTCCTTCTCCACCTGGGCTTTCCACCGCCTTCCTCTTCCTCTGTTACCAACATCGTGGCCCGCAGAAGCGTTTCTGTTCATTCGAACGACATGGCCAAGCCAGCGGAGCCGCTGAATTTTAATTCGCTGCACTATGTCTATATCGTTGTAAAGCCCATACAGCTCATCGTTAAATCATCTGCGATATTCGCCATCACCAACGCGTAAAGGTCCGTAACTGTTTCGCAGAATCTTTCTCTCTAAAACTCCAAGAGCCGCCTCATCAGATGCTTTCATTGTCCATGCCTCCGCGCCATACACCAGCACAGGCATGATGAGTGACTTATAGAGTGTGATCTTTGTACGACGAGAGAGGGCTTTACTTCTCAATTGCCTACTCAGCCCAAAGTAGCACTTGTTGGCAAGAGTGATTCTCCGTTGGATTTCAAGGCTGACATTATTATTGGTGTTAATGCTGGTTCCCAAATAAACGAAGTCGTCTACTTTTTCAAACTTGTAACTGTCAACAGTGACGTGGGTGCCAAGACGCCTATGCTCTCACTGTTTGTGTGATGATAGGTGATACTTCGTTTTGTCCTCGTTCACCACCAGACCCATTCGCTTTGCTTCTCTATCCAATCCCGAG